TCATCGCATGTACCAAAACTCCTCAACCACATATCATTAAAAAAAAATCATACGGCAGGAAACGATCCTATCCTGCTAAGTGCAACAGATTCAAAGGAAAGTTGAAAGGCATTGGGAACAGAAAGAATACTAAGGCTAGAGTGAAATTTCAACAATCTCTAGAGCTTCAATCAGCTACAAAATAATAATAATAATAATAATAATAAAAAGTAAAATATTAACAAAAGTTTGGGCAGAATTTAAATCATAAAAAAAGGGTAATGGCACAGATAGCAGATGGGTCGAACAAGTAATACTAATAATAAAAAAAAAATTAAAAAGGGAAAGAAGCAAACCTGATAGTGGAAATGAGATGAAGATGATAGGGAAATTCAGACGAAATGCGAAGAATGAGGGGATTCTTGGAGAGTAGAGATGGACAGTGTCTAGGGAAGGATAAAAGAGGAAAGTGGAGATGGACAGTGTCTAGGGAAGGCTTTGTTTTTGGGTTTTCACATATTTTTTGTTTCAATTTTTTTTACCATCTTCTTTTTCCTATTTTAATATTGTTTTCCTTCATAGTTCTATTTGTTGCTTAAAAATGCATAAACTCCTTTTTAGCATCTCCAACCAAACAAGAAAGATCTAAAAGTACTCGTACAACTTTTATAGAGTTTTTATTCAAATTGTACAAATTTTTTCTGTTAATTGAGAAAGAAGAGTGATTCTATTTTTTTTATAAAAAAAAGGTGTCTTATTAGTGAAATGATAAATATTTATTTTAATAAATTCATTAATAATTTTAATAATAAATAATATTTAAATTTAAAAAATTTAAATATACTATTTAATTATAAATTTATTAATTAATATAATACCTAAAAATTTTAAGTATTATTTATTATCATTTAAAATTAATTAAGTTACAAATTTATTTATTAATAATTATATTTTGAAAAAATTATAGTTTTTGAAAATTTTTATTAGAGAAAATATTATGAATTAATATTTTTCAAAAAACATTAAGAATTAAATTTTCTAGAGCTTATATTGACAGTTATTATAATCGTCAATATATAACATATTATACTAATGGATATTTATATACCATTAAAAAAAGTTTACTTATACTGACAGTTATTTAAAGTGTTGGTATAGACACTGTTTATATTAACAGTAACAAAAATCTATCAGTATAGATACTTTTTACTTACATAATTTGATCGTCACTATTGATAAGTATCATTATATAGCATACTTATATTGACAAATAATTATATACCGTTAAAAAAAATTTTTTATACCGATGATTATATAAAGTGTTAGCATAGATATGATATATTCTAATAATTTTAAAAAATTATCAATATAAATCTCTTTTATTAATGCAATTTAATCATTAGTATAACCAAATATCAATATATAAAAAATTTATTGTAGTGCTTGTTGCTGATTGTGTCTGTGTTGGGTATGGGTTATGACTAGGTTCTACTACTATGTAATTGTGTCTTTTGCTGAAATTGTTGGTGGAATAGTTGGATGTAAAGTATTGGTTGGCCAGTGGTGGCAATGGCAGTGCCATTGGAATTTTGGGTTCTTGTCTGTGGGAATGTTGCTGCTACCAATCCCTTGTAATTGTGTATCTGTGTTTTCGGTAATTGAATGTGGTTGTTTCCCATTCATGTGATTGAATTGTTCTCTCATAGGGACTTAATTTCATTTTGAAAAAGATCCAGATAAAAGAAAATTTTCGTGTCAGATAAATTTCCTTAACATTCATAGTAATTTCAATTCATGTAAGGTTCAATCCCAAATTCATCATCAAAATCCTTTCAATTCGAATAGTTTCGGATTTATCTCTTTTTATTTTTTGTTTCTTTCCATTTTTCCAAATTTTTTATTTTTCTAATATTTTAAAAATATTAATAAAATAAAGAAAATAAAGAAAGGAGAGTAATAACTATAAATTAAATAAAAATAAATAAAAAATATAACATATACTTGGTTTGGGCGTAAAACCCAAATCAAGCCCAAATTAGATTAGTTATTCCCAAATCAAGCTCAAGAAACAATCGATGGATAAAAAAAAATGAATCCCAGGGTTCATGAATGTCAAAACATCTTGAATAAAATGGGATGTCTACATAGACAACAGATTGCTCATGTTAAAAGTCTTCACCAATTGATTCTTTTCATATATGGAATCAATTTCTTAGGTTATGGAACCTTTCCAAAGTTATGTCATGGCTTCTTAATCACTAATTTCTTACTTCATCAATTAAACATCATGTCCAATGAATTATCTTTCACTATATTTTGAACACATTCTAACAAAATCTTAAGTTCGGGCGTGCATTGCATTGGCTTAACTGAGAATAGAAATGGGACGATAATCCAGGTAATATAGCTAAAATCCAACCAAAAAAAATCGTACCTTTTTGAATGCTAGATGGCATCATACTTGCCATAGTATCTGCAGTTTTAATATATGGATTTGCAAAAGAAACTATATATAAATATATAAATATATGTATGTATATACACATATATATGTATATACACACATATATATTCATACATATATATATATATACATATACATATATTATTGATAGCTAGTTGGTTTGACTTGTAGTTGCTGCAGGTGATTTGATAGTCAAACCAACTAGCTATCAATAATATATATATATATATATATATATATATATACACTTATACAAATGTATATGTATATGTCAATCAAGTCACCTGCAGCAACTACTACCAAAACAGAAATTACAAAATTGCTCATTATTTCATCTATAAATTGCATGCACCATCTTTTGAATGTTTGGTTGTGACTGAACTTTCATGCCCTCTAAAATAGAAATATAGCAACTTTATCCTGTTATATATATATATATATATATATAGTTAGCTTAATGGTTTATCTGTCTTTCCTATAGATTCCATAATAAAATATAGTAGGAAGTTTCTAAAATTGCATCATCTAGCTCATGCGTGGATAGATATATCAAACCTCGTAAGGAGTTTGTCATGTCCGGAAAACAATGTTTTAAATATATGTCAAATATCCAAGTCAAAGAGAAATTGTAGTACTTGACATTTTGAACAAAATGTTTTCCATTATTATTCCTTTTTACTAGTGTTAATGTATTTTCTGGTATGATGACTGGATATTTAAAGGAAGGTTGTTTGGATGGTTAATTTAGGTAGCAGAGATGATCTATCACAAGGAGAATGGTCAGGGGCGTCGGAGATAATCCAAAGGACATTTTGACTCTCAAGTCGGCAACATATAGGAGAGGGGAGAAGAAAAAAGAAGGGAGGAGAAAGAAGGGAGGTCGGAGAGGGTAGAAAACGAGCATGGAATTAATAATGAATTACTTGTAGTTCAATCCTACTTTTTAGTTAATTTATACTGATTTGGCCAAGTTGATTATCAATATTAATCAAGTGTTAAATCAGCTAAGGTGGTGGCCTACTTAACGGTCAATATATATCGATTTAGTAGTCACAATATTGACTGACAGATCATGGTCTTAACAACTAGCTTTAAATCTAGTGCAATGCATGAGATCACATAATTAGTAAGTTTTCTAAGCAAGCAACTGCTATACTAATTTAAATACATAAGTTAATTAAATTCGCCTTCCTATAGCTAGGCTACTATAACTATTTTGTTTTCATTAAAAGAAATTAAAAATTTTAACAAGGAAAGAAAAGAAATTGAAATATATATAAGAATAAAAACATAAAAATATTTCAAAATAGTTATTCAACAAGAAATTAAGCAAGATATATTCTTATATGCTAAGAAAATTAATAAATAATGAATAAGCACACTTGTTTCAAACAGGAGGGCAAAGTTTAAGGAGTTCACTTTCCACCACTACAAGAGATGTGATTTTTAGCAGCAAATATTTTATGTTTAACTGGAAGATGTTGCAAATAGCTGTGTTGTAAAAAGCATTTGCAATCATTTCTATGCATACTTTTGTTAAAAAAAATGTGCAACTCCTATTTCAATATAAAATCTTTTATGCTACAAAATATTTTACAAATTATTGTAAGGTGTTGCAAATGGTAATATTGTACAAAGTATTTGTAAAAATTTTTTATGCATTATTGTTACCAAATGTAATTTGTAGTACTTCTCCAATTATTACAAATTAATTTTAAATTAAATATTTAACATAATATTAGAATCAAATTTATTTTGTTCTTCTTGTCTATTATCCCTTCTGAACTTGAAGTTAACTAGCTCATTTATTAATTATATATCCAGTTTGATTTTGTTAACCTTTTGCATTTCATAGTCTTTCTTCTCTTATCCATAATTACCACCAAATATATGGGTAATTAATAACCTTCTTCTTTTTTTTTTTATCTTATCTCGTTACCTGGTAACCTATAAATGTACTCATGATCAGATAACTCAATAAAATCACTTTCTTACTTAACTGCAAAGTTACATCACCACCCTCGCTTGGATTCTAAGTATCATCAAAATAAACCTTAGGGGTCTGCTTTACAACAATATTTTTTCTAATCATTATTTAAATTATCTGCTTTGATATGTCTTGCTTGTGAATTAATGTAGATTTATTAATGGAACATGCTGCGCTGGTCGGATATTTAGGTTTGAAATCAGCTCGGGTACTTCCTAATGATGATATGGCCTTAATTAATTAATTAAAGTGAAAGTTGTAAATATTTATTTCGTGCGAGTGCTCAGAACATTTTACCACAAATTTTGCTTTCAGAGGCTTAGTAGGTATGATAAACATTAATACAAGAATAATCATTATATATAAAGAGGTATTTATTGAAGAAATTCTTCATTAACGAGCGTAATAATATTTGTTTAAACTTTATTTTCAAAAATTATTTGGTTAAACTTTAGTAAATGTTGTTACTTACTGATGTACAATAGTATGTTGGTTATAGTGCAATTAATTTAATTACGGAAAAAAATTGATTTCACATACTAAATTAATGTGGAAATATAATTTGATGATAATTAAATAAAATGAGCAATTAAATGTAATTAATATTTAATAACAGATGTTGGGTTCTCGTTCTAGACATTATATCCTACTTGAGTAGACTCCAGATTAATTAACTGCTTCTCTTCCATTAGAGGAGGGGCAATTGTAAGGTCGAGATTCAAGTCCGGTAGCCTAGTGCAGATCACCTCCGAAGCACTTGCGGATTTCAAGGGTTGGTTGTCGGAATTGAACACGTTTGAAAAATTTGATTTGGTAATGATACGAGAGAGCAGCGATCGACGATTGTTGGGTTCAATTCCCATCTGCAATAGTTTCCTTTTTATGTGAGTATTCCAGTAATTCTTCACTTCGTTGTCTGTCCTTCCTGGCAATCTTCCTGCTATTAGTGACCACCTAAACAATTGACGATGCCGATCGTTGTTATTAATTGTTTGTTCAGACTTCATACTTCAAATTCTAATACCGTAATTTTGTCCGCATGGTATATATGCTAGAGCACCACAAATTTTCACATCATTGATTAACAAATTTAAAACTAAATATTCTTAAATTTTAAATATTTATTTATTTAAAACAAATTAATAATTTGACACCGTATAATGCGCAAATTAATGAATAATATTTATACTGATAGTGTATTATAAGAATAAAACAATAAATCCTATATAATAAACAATTACCTATTTCCTAGGAGTGCATGGAGTTTGATAATGAGCTCCTCTTCATCTTCCCCAAAATTGCCTCGTTTAAGGTCTGGCCTCAGGTAATTTACCCATCTCAATCGACAACTTTTACCACAACGAAGCAACCCTGGTCGGTCAAAAATATGAATATATAACTGTAAATTTCAACAACTTTAGCAAAAGTCCATCAAGAAAGCATATATATTTAGGACAAGTAGTGTTTCAGATTAATGACTGAGCATGCATGAATATGAATATACATACCTGCAGCCTGAGGAAGAGAGCGCCAGCAACCTTCACCATGTTTTCGAATGTAATCAGTAAGCTTCTGGTCTTCTAGTTTTGACCAAGCTCCTTTGTTAGTCTCTTTCTTCTCACAGCAAGGCTTCCTCATTGTGAGAAACAAACAGATAATTATCGAAAAAAAGGAAAAGCAGAGGCCAGTTGCAAAGTCGGCTGAGAGAGAGAAGAGAGGATCGGCAATTTGGCATGCAAACGCAAGAGACTGGAAGTGGATGAGAAAGAAGTAATATAAAGGGGTTGTCTCCAGCTACTAGGGCTTGACTCACGGTTACCAGCCATAGGATTTGTCACGCTTTGCATGCGATTGGATGTGTGAGAATCCCGCCGCTTGACGGAAATAAGTTTTTTTTTTAATCTACTTCCTACTTGACTAAAGAAGATTTTACATGCATATATATTCTTTTTTAAATCTACAATCTTTAAATATCAGTTTCAATATTATATCAACTAATTTAAAGATTTATCCACTAAAAAAATAAATTAATCCTTTTATAAATATATATACGAGGGTAAATATAATTATTACATTTATTAATTATTTATTTTTTCATCAAATGAAAGTGAATTTTGATGTATAAAGTAAGGAAAACTTTTTAAAGAATTAGAAATAAAACTATTAACCATGTGGCTTTGAGTAATTTTTTAAACTGAATTAGTATTATTCAACAAACTCAATAAAAAATTATCAAAAACAAGACACATCAAAAGTTGAAATCATGATTATTTTAAATCAAAAAATTTATATAAAATAACAATAAACTTTTATTTTTAATTAAATAAATTATATTTTTTACAAGTTACTTTTATTATATTAAAACAAATGAATAAAATTAAATGAAAACTAAGAACAAATAGACATTTAACCTCTTTTGACTATATAATTTAAGTCTAATTTAATTAGTAAATATTAATATGCTTTGAGGGTCTTGATATATATATATATATATATATATATATATCTTGGTATCTTCCAACAGGTGTAGAAAGGAGAAAAAAATTATAAGAACTTGATTGAAAAGTTAAGATTGCAAACTTTATTTTTGACTGATAGCCCTGGACGACTCTATATATCATTCTTTTTCTTCAAAAAAAAAAAAAAAGTCCCTTGAACCCTGATACCAACGGGGGTGGGAGGGGGAGGCAGAAGTCACATGTTTTGAGGTTGACTGTTAGATTTTCATAGATAATGCTTACAACTGACAACAAGATTATCTATAGAATCTAACGTACGTGGTGAATTGAGAGGAAGCGCTTTCCACTGAAAAATATTTTTATTATTATATTTTATATACTTAAACACTATTAAATTAATTGTTTACAAAAAATACAATGCAGTGGGAAATGACATAGACCCATTTTGTATTTATATAAAATAAACATAAATCTTTGAGCAAAATAGAATCTTTTAAGAAAAAGGTATTTCTTAGCTAGTTATAAAATATTGAAGGTTTTTTTTATTCATTATTTTTTTTTGGGCAAGTATTTTATTCAAGCTTAAGTAAGGCACTTGAATCTAAATGTATGATTAAAATTTTAATAATTTTAAATTGAGTATCAATTTAACAAAATTTAATTAATATTTATTTAAATAAATATTAACCCTATATTTAGATAAAAATGCATTACTATAAAATAATAAAAACTTTTATTATTTTTTAGTTATAAATATAATAAATATTAGATTTATATAATAAATTAAATAATCAATTATTATATTATAATTAAATTACAATTATTATAATTAACAAATAAATTAAAATATAACTAAACACGTAAAATAAAACTTAAATTCAAAATCTTAAAATTCAAAAATCTTCACCTTACAACTAAATAAAAGTCTCATTGCCAACTTTTACTATTTTTTTAAGTAACAGGCAATCATTTTCCATCTCTTAATATTTTTCTTGTATTAGATTTCCCTTTATTATTATTATTATTATTATTATTATTATTATTATTTTGTTCTTTTGAGGCTTCCTAGATATCATTTTGACCTTTTGTGGTAGAAAGGCGTTACCTTTGGGGAAGGTCAGCCGCAGCATGTGGGGATGAACCAAACACCTATCCGTCGAACCAAATTTAATGATCCTCTATCCTCGAGTTTCACAAATTTTCGAAGCAAACATTGTAGAAAACCCAACTAATATTTTGACTGCATGTATTACTAAGCAGAGATTTGACTCATAGGTAATTTACGCAAGGGTTAGAGCACTTGAATAAGTCATATTAAACCAAGGGCAACAGAATCAAAGAATCAACAGTCCATTTGCATTTTTTTAAGGCTAAAATATTTATTAAAAATCAAAGCAAAATATTAGAAAGCAAAGCAAAAAATGACTTAAAAATTTGAAGTCAAGCAACTAGATCATGATCTATACTAATACATTAAAGCAGTTGTTAAAAACAAGCTTTAATGCACTTCAACAGATTTTAGGGGACGAAATCAGTAAGTTGCTTGTTAAAAACTGTGGGAGCTAGAGGTAAATATGTTTTTACAGCTATTTTCTGTACTTTTTACTCATTTTCTATATGTCATGAATAGCTATGCTTTTCTGTGTAGCCTGTAATCTTTGTAGTAGGCTTGTCTGCTCCTTTGGATGAATTATAGGATCTCATCTACCCAAAAGTAAAGCAAAATAAAGATAATTAAGAAAGAAGTTCCGGAATAATTTTCTGTAATTATATTCAATACAAGATATAATTACTGTTAAAGTCTTAATTTGGCCTCTTTATTACCTTAATCATGTTGTTTTAGTCCTTCTACTTCAAGTTCAATGAATTTAGTCATTGTACTTGTCATAACGAATAGGTTTATAGACTTATTGTTAGGAAAATCGTTATCAATATTTTTTATTTAGGTGTAATTACTCATCTAATTGAATCTACCCCTTTAAAAAAATTCTAAACTTGATTAAAAGTGCTTGAAAGAATAAATTCTAGTCTACTAATTAGAATAGGGTTCGATTACGTAATGAAAAATGTTATAACCTACCCAGATGCTCATCCAAAAAATGATATCATTTAATTTTAAATTATTTTAAGGATCTTTGGTTCTAATGGTTTTCTATTAAATCTTAATGTCTACATATTAGAAATAATTTTTAAGATTTCTTCATTAATCTGATAAAATTCTTAAAAATACCTTTTTACATCAAAAGTATTCAAGAATCTCATTTGTTTTCTTGAAAAAGTTTCATCATAAAAAAAAATTTAATCATTTTTATTAAATTTTTTTATTTAAAATATATCTAATTCTTTCACTATTTGAGCCAAAATTAAAAATATTTTCTCACTTTAAAGTTTCTCAAATAATCGTCCCTTTGCGATTATGAAAAGTTTCATCCTCAGAATTTATTCTTTATTTTGTAAATTTTATTTCTATATCTAAATTTCTATTGTATTAAGATATGTCTAAATTTTTTACTGTTTGGACCAAATTTAAAAATACTTTTTTTAGAATTTAGACTCTTATTGTCAAATTTTATGCATTATTTATTTCCTAATTTTTTTAGAATGAAAATAAAATGCCAACTATGGTTTGAAATCTCATTCAAATTCTTCCACCATTTGCATTGAATTTGAAAAAGATTTTTACCTAGAAATCTCTTAAAAATTCAACCATTTGTGATTTTCTTGGGAATTCGTCATTGGATAATTGTCATATATTTTCAATCAAATTTATAAGTTATATAATTTTTTATTTTTTCATTTGGAAATGCATACAATTATCTTTATTGAAATTTTGTTTAAATTATTCAACCATGTAAGCTGAATTTATAAAAATTCATTACCTAGAGATTTGTTAAAAAATTTATCATTTGAAAATTTTAAGAATCTCATCATGGAAAAATTGTTAACTAATTCCCAAAAATTTTATAAAATTTATTTATATATTTTTTAATTTTAAAAATAAATACTAATTATTATTAAAGAAACCTCATCTAAAGTTTTCCTCCATTTGGGTCAAATTTAAAAAGATTTCTCACCTAAAAAGTTTCTAAAAATTATCCATTTGTAATCTCTAAAAATTTCATCTTTGGATAATTACCACTTGTTTTTCAAGATTTTGTTAAATTTTTATTTTATATATTTTTTTGTTAATTAGAATAGATTCCTTTAACTTTTCCTAAAAACTTAATCTTGCAAAAATATTTCAAAAATAAATAAATAAAACAAAATAAATAACAAAAAAAATAAAAAAAAAAAGAATCGGTTCTGCTTAGCTTGGCTTGGGTTATGGCTCGATTACAAGAACATAATGCAGCTTGATGGATCGACTTAGTAGTTAAGACGGCTCAGCTTAGCAGCTAAGATGACTCGACTTAATTGACTCAATAAGGAATCCATTTTTAGCAAGCATGTCGAATGCATTGCGGATTGGGTCATCATGCGAAGCAACACCTAGATCCTGGGGTTTTAAAAGGTTCCAAAATGACACTGTTTTCCCCAAGTATAGAAGCTTTAAAATTTTTTTTTCTTCAGACTTTTCTTTCTTCTTCTCTTTTTTTTTCTTTCTCTTTTCTTTTTACCTTTTGTAGATTTCGGCCACCAAAATCTTCAACTTCAACGAATAAAATTGTCGATTTCTAGGTTTGTCACCAAAAGCTATGAATGGTCGCTGGAAGTTGTCAAATTCTAAAGATTGTCACTGGTATGTGGGAAATCTATAAAAAATTGGCTAAAAAACTGGAATCTCATAGGAAAATTCATTGAGAAATTCAAAATTTAACCAAAAATTCAAGTTTTTTCCAAAATTTTTCAAAAATTTCAAAAAAAAATTGCCAGAACTTCTATTTGAATGTTTTTTAATCTCCTTGATCTTCCAATCACATTGATTCTTTTCGAAAAAAGCCAAATCAATTTCCAAAAAACAAATTTTCCTAAAACAAATTTCCCTCAATTCAAAACCCCACTACCAGAGCAATTTTCTCTCTCGATTGTTTCTCTAACTTGTTGTGTGTCCTTTTTGGGTAGAATGCTAGCTTATTTATGGGGAAAGATCATGAGAGTTTCAACTCACTTAGGATTAGATTTTTAAAACCTAAAGATTATCACTAAAGTAATTCTAATCCTAAACTATTTCTATGAAGTCAAAATCCACATCAAGATAACATTAGACAAATTTTAAACTTCAAATTTTTTAGTTTTTTCATTTTTTTTAAATAATATGATATTTAAAGATAAACAAAATCAAAAACAAATTAAAAATAAAATAAAA